GGATGTTCTACGTGGTTGCTGGGCAACAGACAACACTGGCGTAGAAGTCATGGAAATGTGACTTTGTACGTAATACATGAATATTACGAAATTATGTATATGGGACGTTTGAAGCTTGATATTGTGTATAATGTGACGAAAACAAAGCCTATTTTTATATCTTTTAATTCAACTCATCACTAGCTCGGATATTTTACTTAAGTAGGCCAAGAAGTAGAAAACAGTGTGAAAATACTCAGTTACAAGTAGAAGTCCTGCATTCAAAAACGTACTTAAAGTTTTGGCATCAAAATATAGCCTACTTACCCCTCCTGTTGTCTTCGGGTCAAATCTGACGGATTTACTACTTTCATCAGTCATAACTTTTTTGTTTTACATTCGATTGCATTAAGGCTTTATGATATCCTTCACAGTAGACATTTGAACATATTAAATGGCTGATCACCACTTTCATTGAGTTTTGGATGATTTAGTCAACTTTGTAACACCATGGTGTTCCCGGTCAAAAATGACCGCCATAAAGAAAAGGAATTAGTAACCATCCGGATCAGATATAAAACACACACACACACACACACACACACACACACACACACACACACACACACACACACACACACACACACACACACACACACACACACACACACACACACACACACACACACACACACACACACACACACACACACACACACACACACACACTCTAGATGAGCCCCCCCCCCTTATGTGCCCAATCCCCCCATGTGAATCACCTGGCACACACAAACACACACACACACACAGAACAATTTCACACATTTCCCGCTCTTATGTGCCCCTCCCCCCACATGGTTCACACTTGGCACACGCAATACATGTTCAGTGTCTGTTCTTTGTATATTTACTGCAGTATTTCATGTATACCAGTAGTCTGATACAATATGTACAGTTTGAAAGGGTGTGAAATTACATTTGGTGGTGATTAATGGTTTTTGTGTTAATGAAATAGCAGTTAAAACAGGACCGGTCAAATTTGACCGCGAACACCAAAGTAAGGGGGGGAACGAAGACAATAGGAGGGTTAAAATACCAAAAGTAAAAGCACCTACTCTGCTTAATGTCCCATTCAGTAATCGTTCTAAATTATTCCTTTTGCTGCAATAATCTCACAGCTGGTAAAAGTGGAGCTACTTTGAATTACTTGAGTAAACACTACATTACACCACTGGCTTTAGGCGACCTTCAGTTAAGCTCCATAGCTTCCATAAAGTTGCAATGAAACAGAGAATTAACAGCAGGTATACTACATTTAGCATTGTATCCTTCCCATGGTTATTTACCTGCTTTAGTTATCTCTAGGAAAATGTCTGTAGCAGATAGTTGAATTTGGCTGCATGTGAACGCACCTGCTCTTTTCCCACCATGATGAAATGTTGTTAAAAAAATTCCTAAATGAATAAAAGTGCCATTAAAATGAATATATAACCAAATATATTTATAAATAGACCTATAGATTTTAAGAGATTTATAGGGTTGCTGAAGTGTTTGCTCGTCCTCACCATAAGAAAATTATACATTTGATGAGGATTCATCCACATGTGGTAAAGTTGGCAGGTATCTTAGTGGTTACCTAATACCTCCTGGAGGTCTTCCAGTCCCAAACTGATATAAATAGGTGAAGGTAAACGGTATCAGGTTGTCAGAGCTCCAACATGATTCATCTTGTGGCTTTCCTGTCCTGCATTGGTAAGTTTTCCCAAAACATATTTTCAGTGCTGTTTTGTGCACATTTAACTGTACTCTCTCCAATCTCACGTGTGCACCATAGGGCTGATTTATGCTGAAACACCTTTCAACCATAAGGTGCACAATGAGAGGGTCATAGGAGGCAATGACGCCAGACCAAACACCTGGAAATGGCAGGTATGAGCACTATTTTAAAACATTATTTATACAGATTGAATGTAATGTGACGCTAGTATTTTTTACTTATATCCTTTGGGTAAATAGGCTTCCTTTTAATCTGCTAGACCTCATTATGCTGATAGATTTCTGATATAACGTTGTCTTTTTGGTATCAGTGTGTATGTTATTCTCTGTTTTCTCTCAGGCTTCTCTCCAGTATGATTCATACAACGATGGCTTATACTACCACATGTGTGGAGGCACTATCATTGATAGTTTCTACATCATGACTGCAGCTCACTGTATCCTCAGGTTTGCTCTCATACATCCAATCAATGCCACTGATCCTGTCACTCCTGTCCTGCTGATCCCCAGTGTCTGCTTGTAAGTAAACACAGTGTGTCTTTGATTTTTTTCAATCAGCATGGATGTTAATGCGTATCGTGTGGTGGTGGGGGAGTACGACCTGTACGAGTACGACGGCAGTGAGCAGTTCCGCCAGGTGGACATGATTGCTGTCCATCCAGACTGGAATGAAGACCTTACCAAAGGGTAAAGAGAGCAAGTTGTCTTAGTTTCACCACTCAAAGCACACTTTCATTGACAGTAAAGGCTCAAAGGGGATAGTTACAGGGTTAAGGCATCCTATGCTTTCACTTTTATGGCTACAAACCAACTGGTATTACCACTTTCCCTCATGTAGTGCTTTGAAATGCCTTGCACAAGTAGATGGAAACATGATAGTCGGGGGTACACAGCATTTCCAGGTTCTCAATAAGACTCTATGAGCTGGCAAACAGACTATAACTTATTCCATTTTTATATTTTCTCTATTAGAAATGACATTGCTCTCCTGAGGCTGGCTAAACCTGTGTATGATAACGGCTACGTGGCCACTGCTGAACTTCCCTACCCGGATCAGATGCTTCCTCACGGGTTCTCCTGTTACATCACCGGCTGGGGTCTCATGGACTGTGAGGACACACACACACACACACACACACACACACACACACACACACATACACACACACACACACACACACACACACACACACACACACACACACACACACACACACACACACACACACACACACACACACACAGGATTCTGCATAATAGGTGACCTTTAAAGTAATCTTCACACACTTTCTTTGTTTACAGATGAAGGGAGCATCCCTAACATCCTGCAGGTGGCCCCCATCCAAGTGGTGGATCATGCAATGTGCTCCAGGCAAGACTGGTGGGGCAGCAACGCCTTGAAGACCATGGTGTGTGCTGGAGGAGATGGAGTCATATCAGGCTGCCAGGTACACATCTTTGGATATTTGGTATCCATAAATACAAGACTGCTGTATAATTAAGGGGCAGATAAAGTACTGTCTGTCCTGCACAACCCTCTGAATATTTTTGTACATTTGTATACTGTTAGAGAAATATCACTTGTCCCCAGCTTGAGCTTCAACATCAGGATCCATGTATCTGTGATCCTCTCCAGAATGGAAGTAGTCATCACACACAGAGCATCAACTAGTTCCTGAACAGTGTCCTTCACATGCTGATATCCAAGAGAGGGAGTTACACAGTCACAAGATGGAGGAATAGAAAGCAGTATTCAATGTTTACTTCAGATTAGCTCCACGTCAGAAATGAGCATGCTTGATGTCTCTCTCCATAGAGGCTGAATCATCATGTTAATCACATAGCTATCATCTGCCTCAAACAGTCCTGATGCTCTTCTAGGTAATCACACATCCTGTCATGTTCACAGCTACAGTTGGGACACCTTTGTTATCATGTTACTCTCATGTTGGAAGAGCACATTCAGTATTTTCCCAAAATATACAAAGCTACCGCTTTTAATATCTGCACAGCTTTAGCAGATTCCTCGTATATACTACCTGTCACTGCATGGTCTCCACATTGGCCCCTCTCTTCTCGTTGTCCCAGGGCGACTCTGGCGGGCCCCTGAGCTGCTTCGTTGAAGGAGCCTGGAGGGTCTACGGTGTCGTCAGCTACGGTCCAGTCGGCATGTGCAACCAAGAGACCAAACCCACCGTCTTCACCAGCGTGTCTTCCTTCCAGGAATGGATCTACTCAGTGAGCCTCCTGGTATATCTAATACATATCCATATCTGCATATTTCAATTTTCTGACTTTTGTTTGTTTTGTTTTTTTCCAGATTATCCAATAGGCTGAACAATGGAACATCTGAAATAAAATTAATTTGCATCTCAGTCATGTGTGTTTCATATATAATAGAGGGTTGCTTGTAGTTCTTATTTTAGCCACAAGATGGCGATAGTGGTTCATGTTCAGACTTGATGCCATGTACTTTGCCAAAGGTTAAAGATCATCTGACCTCCAAGTCTGCAACCCCATTGGCCCAAAACGGGTTTCCACATATCTTTGATCGATCGTGTTTAGGTTGAAGTTGCATAGTGTCTATTTAATGTATCCAGAATGAACGAAAACCCCCCTAAAATGTTTGAAAAAACCACCTAAAGACTTAACAAGAACCACATTTTCTTGACGGTGGCCAATGTAAGCTAAATGCAGTCACCGGATTGACATTTCCTTCCCGTCTGGGATTTCTAGCCATATGTGTGTGGTGGTAGTCAGGAGACTGCAGCATGATGACATCACACCGTGTTGTTCTGCCAGCCATGGAGACCAGAAACCACATGGATTCCTGTGGTTTACACACACAAAAACCCAAAGACTGCCAATACATAGACTATCTAATGTCTTAAAGGCTTTAGTGTATGGTTTAAGTATGTTAACACTGGATATGTTTCCAGTTAGGAAGAGAGGATTACATTAAAAACGCGTTATAAATCAAAGACATCGACTTAATAGGCATATTTCCTTTCCTATGGGTTATTATGTAGCTTAAAGGTCATTGTAGGAGGCGTGTGGCACAGTGAGCTAGTGCGTTAGTGTTCAAAGCCCACTGCAGTCAGCATGTCGTTGTGTTCCTGAAGACACTTCACCCCAAATTGCTCCTGTGGGGATTGCTCACAGTATTGAGTATGTAAATCGCTTTGGATAAAAACGTCTAACAAGTAACATGTTATGTAATTTCAATAAATATGACAAACAAGAGCTTTTAGAAAATGTTTTTTTTATTATTATTTGGAGGGACAGGCTGTCAAATGGCTTAGATGAAAGAGACTGTTTTTGAACAGCAGGTTAAAGTGTGAATATGTAAAAAATAAAGCAGCTTTGTTTGCTCTGCAGGACCATTCAAGCAGAAATATGTACAACAAAAAAGGCAAAAAAGTAAGACACGTTTCTTTTCTGAAAACAAAATGTAAAAAAAAGCTGTACTGTAATACATTACATTGATGAACACTCACTGATGCCATTTCTTCATGATGTTTTTTTTTACAAGAGAAACAAACATTGGCAAAAAGAATCAGTGCCCTCTTCATGGCGTGAGAACATATCGGATGGATTTTAAAATACTCAAAAAAGGCAAAAAGCGAATAATACATTTCCGATGTGCATTCAGCACTTTTCAAAGTATACAATTAATCAGAACAAGTTTTAACAAACGGGACCTGCATGCATAATTTCTAAAGGGTCCAGAAAGGCTGCAGAAACAGCTGTAGAAAGGGTGAGATATGTACATACACTCTCTAGTGTCCTCCACTGTCTTGTTCTGTCATGAATGAGGCAACTTTTTTCATTTTCAGGGTTTGTGTGTGCGATAAAAACCGTATAATATATGCAGTTTTTACCCACAATGCCCCTTGTTTAATTCAATACATAGTGTAACCCAAGTCACAGACTTCCAAGAAATTCAGAATACAATCAAATTGATCTTTGCAATTTACTCAGTTTTAGTGGCATTTCGCTAAGACATCTACTCATAAGACTGCCTATGTGAAAAATACTTCAGAATGCTAGAGCGCCATAACCTTCATAAGTATACATTTCTCTATAATTCATATATTACAAAGTTTGTCCCGGATTGAATTTTTTTTCTTTCTTTAATAAAATATTTTAATTTGTCAGTGATTAGAATTCTTTGTCGACCTACATAAATTAGTTATAAAATATTAGTGTAATTTTTCTATGGTTACATTATAGGCAGCGATACAATAGACCCATCATTTAGTTTCAGTGATTCGGGAGATTCCACAGTTTTCAGTCCCAAAGCTTAAATGGAAGCACTATCAGGCTCCCTGATAAGCAGGCACATCCAGTAAACTTCACAACACCCCCATTTTATTGCCAAAATGTCTTAAATTAAATAGCTAATGAAATGATATAATAAGTTATCAAAAAAAAAAGTTATATGTAAAAGAGAATAGATATTAAATACTTTCTGATGGACTTGTGGTCCCTTTCCCATAGCAATGCCATCATGTGAAATGGGGGGAAAAGGAAGCACTTTGAGGTGAAAAATAACCACAGTGCTTCTCGAGTGAAAGTAGGCGGAAATAAATAGAATAGAATCATGAAAGGAAATAATTTAAAACAAAGTAATATAGATAAAACAAGCTACAGCTTTAAATGGTATGAGCGTTTTCCTTTCTCATAAATAAGGAACTCCATAATTTAGCGTTGAACTGTTGAATCGACCCCATACAACCACAGCAATGCCTATTCAAACATTTTCACAGATAAAGTGCTGATCGAGGAGCTTTTAGAGGGATTTCTTTTGTACCATATAACACCCAAAGGTGAGATCTTGAGGAGGAAGAGTCCACTAGCTTTAACAGGGTGGACCGTACCAACTCAAAGTCATCCGAGTGTGAGCCCAATAAGAGAACACGTGTGATTTAACTCAGGTTTTAAATGAAGGCCATCACAGCAATGGTCACCGTACATTGCCTCCAAAAGCTAGAAAGCTAGAAAAATCCCTGAGGTGCACATTGAGCTGTGTGGAGATTCCCAACCTGGCCCCAGTTAAGGTTTACTTCCAGTTCATCACATGGTTGGTGATCTTGGTTTGGTCAAAATAGCTTTCTTAGGAACTGCAGAGCCATCATTGGTTACTAAGGGCCAAATTGATTTCCATTTTGCATTTTTAACACTAGCTGCCATCTCACACAGCATTTATCCCACACTGCTTTGCTAACGTTTTGAAGGCAAGTCTGGAATTTGAACATTTATTAGGCAATAGGGAAATCACAGCTTCCTCCAAAAATCACATTTATGTGCATGTTCGGCCACCCCTCTATAACCTTTTATTTTTCCTTGCACTGTCCACTAGTTTCGTCAAACTTTCACAGACTCCATCACAGACAATTTCATGGCTTCCTCCAACAGCTGATTGTCTGTAAATGTGGCGGGGGGTTCAGGGACGGATTCGGAGAGTCCGATCAGCGACTCCAGGAGGCAGGTCCCGGGGTCGCTGGCCGGAGGGAGGGAGGGATAGCTAGGCAACTGAAACTGAAAGAAGTTGTCCATGTGTTCGTACTCCTTCAGGGAGTTGTAGAGCGAGCTGGGCCCCAAGCAGGGAAACCCGTCAAAGAACTCCAGGTCCGACTCCGAGGAGAGGCTCAGGTCCATGTTGTAACTCGCCGAGCGGTCGATGCTCGGGGACGGCGTTCGTGGCACACTGCCGCCGTGAAATAAACCGTTCCCCTGGTTGGCGTTCTCATCCAAAAAGTCTGTCGCTCGATTGTCTGTGTGATCGTCCAACAGCGCGGCGTCTATATTGTCGTTCTCGTCTGCAAAGTCTGCCATGCTGAAGCTGCTGAAAGCCTCCGTGGACAGGTGGTCTTGATGTTTATCTGGGTAGCAAATGTCTCGACAGTTCCCACTTCTAGAGCCGCCCACCGTGTCGCTAAAACTCAAAATGCTCAGGCCGTTGTCGTCCAGCTGGGTGTGGTGATCGCACGGACTCTCGCCCGCCCCAGAGTCCTCGCTCTGAGAGTCCGATAAGTCCGTCATGTCGCTGCTGCAGCTGTTCTCTCCTGCCAGGTCTGAAGTGAAGCCGTACGAGGGCACTAAGGTGGTGGTTTTATCCCTTTCCTCCGGGCTCGACTGCTCCTCCAGCCTCTTCTCCAGCTCCAGCTTCATGATGGTGTGGATGTAATGCGTCTGTACCCGGGTGGAGTTGAACTCGATGCGACCTTCTGTGTTCCCGCAGCCGTCCTTAGTGCAGCCACATGGGAAGGAGGAATGATCCATCTGAGGGAAGCAGAAGGAAGTGGTTAAATTACTTTCAATTATTGTTAAACCGCAACTTTTTCAATTGTCAAGGCTTCTGTGTTAAATCTAACGTCTCTTACTTGACACTTGATGCCAGCCAGGCTGCAGCTACACGTCTCCGGCTCGCAGAAGCCCTGGCAGTCACAGCCACAGTTTTCCCTGGAGATCCTCAGCTCGTGCAGTTGCCTCTTCTCGTCCTTGTCGACCTTCTTCACGCCGGCTTCTTTGAGTAGAGCGTAGCGCCGTTTGGGTGGGTAAGGATGGAGGAAAGAGCACTCGTCCAGATTGGTGCCACCGATGTCGATGTCCTGCTCGGGGATGTCGTCCACCGTTAGCCGCTCCGCCTCCTCGTTCTCCTGGGTTCCATTCTTAGTCAGCTGGAGTGGAGAAAAAACATCAATGAGATCTTGTACTTAAGTAGAAGTAAAAGTCAAATGATCCATTACACTTTGGGGCAACTTTGCTTACCTTTAACTTGAGAGCTTCGAGCTTTTCCTCCCTGAGTCTGTTGAGAAATTTTTCCCGTCGTAGCAGCCGCTGCTCCACGGCAAACTCGGCAAGCGAATAGGTGCGGAGGACGCTGTGGCGCTGCATCATTCCCAGAGTGCATCCTCCTCGACTGGGAACGCTGGTGAAGCCTTGGCACCGAGGGAAGAAGAACACCGTCACCTGGTCGAAGGTCACATTGCCCCGTCTGGCTCTCTTGGATTTCTTAAGGATGGACGTGGCTGTGGATGGAGGAAGAGTAGGTTTAGGATACATTGAACTCAATTGCTTAAAACAACAGCGGCCCTTGGACCATTTTTAATTGGCGCTCAGCAAGTTCTAAAAGTAAACATGGAACCAGAATTTCATGAATTTTGGGTCGATTTGAATGTTTAGGGGACTCAAAACTACAATGTGTTGTCCTTAAAATGTCAGAAATGGATTCAACATGTTCAATATACCTCAAAACCACAGCCAAAATTGCCCAAGCCATTTTGTTTTGCTATTGTCTGCATATGCTAATTAATGAAACTAACATAACACTTTGGGTGTACTCAACATTTCCAGGTTCACACTGCTGGCAAACAGACTATTAAGTGCCACTAGATGGCATGGTGCTCCTCTGTGTAAGACTTGAGCAAACCTTGCTGAACAGACAGTAAAAGGACACCCCTCTGATTTATTGCCTAACCTTATCATGTACCAAATTAAAAGACACTACTAACAGGAGTCCAACACTCTCACATCCTGTAAAGTGAAACCTACACTAGAGAGAACACGTCCCACTTCGTTTCTTGTCCTACTGTGCGACAAAAGGAAAACACCCAACCTAGGAATTTCCCCGTGGTGACCGACACTGCGGAGGAAACCCAGGATCACAGACGGGTGAGAAAATGCTCAGGCTTCCGGAAGAGGTGGAAAGCTGCCACAAACTGCCCGGTAACTGAGAGGGGTCAAAGGTCCTTTCTCTGGTGGAACATTCAAAACCCACAGCCACCAGCCATCCTGCTGTACTCAAACAAATACAATAAAACCATCAAATCAAAGTAGAACCATATGTGGATTGCATCCAGTTAACTTCTCCTGCATCACTTGCACATTAGTCTAGCTAAATAGTCTTTTTTATATGTCTTATTATGTTACATTGTTGGAGGAGCCTGTGACTTAATTGCATCAATGCAAATCTACACTGTGGCTGTGTATATGACAATAAAGCCCCTTAAACACCTTTTCCACATGTGTTGAGCATTACACCTTCATTATTTGGTGGGTAATTCCTTGTCGTTTTTTCGGGACACACCCTAAACAACTCTCCTCCGTTTAATAAATGAAGCTACTAGGAAGAAAAGCACCCTCCCACCCCCATGCAGGTACAGACAATAGCTCCACTATGTCGTCTAAATCTGCCTTTCGGGGTAATGCAGATAAAACAAAGTTCCAGCCCCACATCCATCAAGTGCAGTCAGGCTCATGACACCCGCAGGAGACAAATGACACCTCTGAATGGGAGCGCTTTGCTTGCCGTTTTCCGTCCAACACAAACACCGGATTATAGGTTTCCAATCCGATCCTCCAAATGTGTCTGCATGCCTTCTTTTCTCGATTGTCCTATACTCCCCCGTCTTTTCCTCTGTATGCCTTCACCCAGCCTCTCTCAGCACCTGTGCTGGGTGCATGCCCAGGTTTCAGACAAGGCGTTGTGTGTTCCCAGCCTTGGCAAACTTCCATCTTTTCCTCCTGGCTGCCTGCCCCGCCATCCTGGAAACCTCACAACTGCTTGGCCTTCTCCCCCTACAGTCCCTCTCCAACCGACCGGTCCCCCAAAGGCCAGCAGACGCACCCAGGGTGGGACTTCAACAATGTAATCTGTTACAATGAATGTCTACTAAACTAGACTCACACCCATGTCCTGTCCAAATGTGTGTGTATACTGTTATTATACCTCAATGTGTGTATATATATATGAGTCTATGTATGAGTATATATTGCCCTGTTGTACTGTGCACTACACACATTTTGAGATACATAACAGTAATCTGATTACATGCTTTTGTATGTAACTGTAAGGGAATACAGTCAGTCACCTTTCTTTAGTATTTTGACCCAAACCCTCCTCAGGGAAAGGTGAGGCTCTCTCTGGTGAGCAGCCACTGCATAACATGATTAGCCATTTTGCAGCTTTAGGGCATCAAATCAGAGATATTCATTGCAGAAGTCTGAAATCATTCCTGTGAAATGTTTCATGGGCTGCCAGCTGCCTAAAATCCTTAACTCTCCCACGTTTGTATGGGTTTTGTTATCAGAGCCTCCGCAGAGACAGTGCATTAAATAGCATGTAGCATCAGCTCCTCTGTGATCTACTGCTGCTGGTAAAGGACACTCACTGTTGTAGGTTTTTGCAGGCGAGCTGGGGTTGCTGGGGGTGGAGTCCAGGGTGTCCGAGTAGCAGCTCTCCCCCTCCGAGTCCCACCCCGAGCAGTCGGAGGAGAGGGAGGAGGGTGAGGAGTAGCATGGGTCCTCATCCACCTCCTCAAACTTCCTCTTGAGAAGCCCACTCATGGCGCCGGTGCGAACAATCTGCAGGAGAGAGCAGAGGGAGGGGTTCATCAGCACATTATTCACACTTCACAGCTTTGTCAAATTCACAGGGGCAGCTTTTAGTTTTCATGCTCTGCAGATCTGGAACAAACTCCATGAGAATCTGCCACAACCTTGGGTCCTTTTAAGGCTTAACACCTTGCTTTTTCATGCTGCTTTTCTAGAAGTCATTTAAATAGCTTTTAACTTCAGCTTTTCTTGCAGCATTATGTGTATTTACAATGTCTATTTGTAATCTACGTAAAGCACTTTGTGTCTGAAATGTGCTTTATAAATAAACTAACCTTAAGACAATACAGTATGTGGTGAGTGAACATATTAAGGGATCTTTCACAGAGGCATTTCTGCAGTGTTATTGGTACAAACAGGTCGTGATCTCGGCCCCGTGAGACCGCATGCATCCAGATCTCGTGCTGCACTCAGCTGAGAGTGGAAGTTCTCCAGGAAGCAATCAATCAGGACATTCGCATAAGTCAACAATTACTGGACCCTTCACCCTCCTCCAAATCCCATCAGCTCAGCAAATGCATTGATTAGAGTGAAGGGTCCAGCACAGAGGTGACCAAATCAGGCCGCCACAGACGTTTCATTTCAATCATTCCCTTAATAAAAGCTAGGCTATAGCCAGCAGTAGCATGGTCAATGTCTTCTCATTGTAAGTGTGTACAGCTCTGCTTTGTCTCGTGCATGTTTTCTTCCAGAGTCCCAAGAGAGGAGCTGCTGGTTCAGCGATAAAAACAATCAATCCTTTGAGAGACAGGCAAAGACAAAGATAGTCATGGAGGAGAGAAAAGGCCATTTAATGTTCGGAAACAATATCTCATCGCAAGTCCACCTCAGCGTGTTCCAGGAAGGAAACAACTGACATTAAATATTAACATGCTCGGAAGGCAGTGAGTTTCTTGGACACAGGACATAAAAGCGTCACGTACTGTAGCTCTGACAAACGGCAGACTTTTTCACAACTTCTGGGAAGAGCGAGGCGACAAGACAGGTCAGCAGGGGAGGAAGGAAGGACGTGAGGGAAGACATGACTGGGCTCAGCTCCAGCGCAGACACTCCCTACGATGATGTGCAAAGGGAAAAGACGCTCGTTTTCTTTTTTCTACTTTGCCATAAAACATTTTACAGTCTTTGGAATCACAGCCAGATCGCTTCCAGCTGTTGCAACTCGAGCGGGTAATGGAAGCCCTTTCTGCTCACGTTTAAGGGGATTTTGGAGACATCTTCACCTTTTCCGTTTCTGACTGTTTTAAGGCATGCGAACCTGTGACTCCAATCTGTGCTGAAAACAAGCTGATTTGCCACCATTTCTCCTTAGAGGACATTCAAAGCCAGGGAATGCCAAGCCCACGGGTCCTCCAATGGCTTGAGAGGAACACCATGTTTGACCTGCATGCCTGGTTTCTTATCAGGATGTTATGCAAGCCTCAGCAGTTGAAAAAGAGGCCTGAGCAGGTATGCAAGGAGGAGGTCATTTTCTGCATGCGACAGGGAGCAATTATGCAAAAGGAGAGTTGCTTTCTGACAAGGATAAAGGAGAAGACAAGGGCAGGAGGCTGACACCTTTGTACAGGGGGGGGTTGTTGTTATTACTGTTGTCCCCAGTGCACATATGATGAATGAATCACCTTGCAATAGGTCAAGCTGCCTCTGCAACCAACAGAAAGGCATCCTTTACACTCTGACCACCTCAGCGCTTTTTTTACATTACTGAAACCAATGAGAAATTCTCTTCCATCAACTCACTGGGGCGGGAAATAATCGCCTCTCACAGCCGCTAATACAATCACATATATAGTGGGAATTGCCTTGAAACAACTGTATCTCATAGTTAGACAAAGCAACGACCGAAAGACATCTGCAATATATACTTTTAATGTATTACTTGGCTGCTACTCCACTACCTTATCCATGCTATTTTAAATACTGTGACTGGGTGTGTATTTTGTGCAATTTCTATTTTTGTCTTTAATATTTTATGCATGCCTCTTAATTCGTATTTCACTATTTAGTATCAAGGTGATTCTGATTGAGAGACACCTGGACGCAGCATGTGTTGCACACCGATTAGACAACAAGTGCGCCACATTACAGCGTTTGAGGAAAAGTGTTCACCTTACATTTTTTGCCATCGCTCACAACCCCCAGTTCGCTGTAAAGAAAGCAAATCAATGCTGCGAGGCATCCTCCAGGGAGTGCATGGAGCCAGCTAAGCAAAGTCTTTTTAATTAAAAGCTGCAGCGAGGCAGAAGGGGGGGGGGGGGGGGGGGCAGTGGTGTCAGAACTGGGTCATTGTCTCTTGACTGCAGTCTACCTGACACATTGATTTGTTAATCCTGTTTAACGGGCAGAAACAATGGCGAGAGGTTAATCCTGGCAAGGGGGACGGCTTGTAGTCAATCTGGAGTTTCTCAGCCTGCACCCACAGACCCCGGGGGCCAAAAGAAGAAGGACCCCGGGGGGGGGGGGGGGGGGGGGGGAATCTGTGGGGAATATAACTAAGTAGATTTACTTAAGTACAATTCTGAGGTACTTGTACTTTCAATTTTTGTTGCTACTTTGTAATCCAATCTGCAGAATGACTACTTTTACTTTTGGTACTTTAAGTATGTCAATACTTGAGGAACATTTTTGATTGCAGGACTTTTACTGTAACAGAGTATTCCTACACTCTGGTACTTCTACTCAAGTTCAAGATCTGAGTACTTCTTCCACCTCTGCGGAGGATGGATGTGATCGGACAGCCGAGCCAGAGAGGGAAGCACAGCATGTTTTCAACGCACACTAAATTATGCAACACACACACACACACACACACACACCACACACACACACACACACACAACACACACACACACACACACACACACACACACACACAACACACAACACACACACACACACACACACACACACACACACAGCACACACACACACACACACACACACACACACACACACACACACACACACACACACACACACACACACACACGACACACACACACACACACACACACACCACACACACACACACACACACACACACACACACACACCACACACACACACACACACACACACACACACACACACACACACACACACACACACACACACACACACACACACACCACACACACACACACACACACACAACACACACACCACACACACACACACACACACACACACACACACCACACACACCACACACACACACACACACACACACACACACATCACACCACACACCACACACACACACACACACCACACCCACACACACACACACACACACACACACACACACACACACACACACCACACACACACAGATAACGGAGGTGCTTCCCAGCCAGTTGTCACAGAAGTTGGGAAAGATAAATCTCTGGCGAGGAGATTTGTCACCTGAAACACTACAGCTCAAAGTCTGACGCTAACTATGTCACTGGAAGAAGATTATCTTGATACATGAAGCTACCGATGTTGATATAAAAATGCAGTCCCATTTTATCTGCAGACAGCTCTTTAAGCAGAATCAGAATACTTTCATTCGTGCTACAGAGGGGAAATGTACTTTGTTATACACAAATGAAGAGCCAACATGTGAATTAAGAAGCATGCATTACATATTAAAGAAGATTTTAGGTTTGAACAATCCCTACCTCCATATTCCCACTGCAAGAGAGACCAATGGAATGTATTTAAGAGGTGTAATCAGTAGCACAAAAATCCAGGGAAACCATTAAAAAAACCTTGTACATCCAGGAAAATGTTAATAATCCAAAAAGACGTCTCTGCATCCCTGAAGCGCTCCCCAGCAGAAAGCCTGTTTGAACTGACCCTGTCCGCCTGCAGCCCAACAGGACAAGTCTCAGTTGACTTTGCCCCCTGATAACAGCGTGGGTGGGACGCCAGCGTTTAAATGGCACACTGTGCAGAGGCTGAGTGACTGACTGACTGAGTGCTCATAAATGTGATAATGATGAACCTGGGAGTCTTCCTGTGTGTGGGAGCGTGTCCAGACAGGCCGGCTGCACCGTGTTACACTTCCAGCTCTGTCACTGGCGATTGATCACCATTAATATGATAGTGGGATGCACAGCTGGGGGAACACTGTCTCGTTTCTTAACCCTCCTGTTGGGTTAGCTTCTCCCCCCTTACTTCTGCTTAAATGTCCCCTGTTATTACACATTTCTATTTTACTTACATTTAAGTAAACAATGTCTCCTGGTTTACTTGAATAACCGCAGTGAATATACAAAGCATTTATACTGAAAATGTTTTCCAGAATCAACATTTTGTAGATTTGTTGGGTGTGTACTATCTGATGGATGAACATAATGCAGGGTTACCCATTCATTTCCTATTGCGGGCATTTTTGACTACTTTTCAGGTTTAGATTATTAGCTAATACAACATATTTATCAATTATTGAATACACTTTGACCAATGTAAGGTATGTAGCTGCAGTATATCAAATTAGCTCTTCATGTACCAGCTGGGATGAAAACACTGACTAATTATAATAGTAACTCAATATATATATATATGATTCTGCAAAAGGTGTACTTTTACTTTTGGTACTTTAAGTATTTTGTGATGCCGATAACTTGTGCTTTTACTTCTGAATACAGGACTTTTACTCGTAACAAAGTGCTTTTATAATTTAGAAGTGCTATATTTGCTTAAATCCGAGTACTTCTTCCACCTCTGTCTTTGCCCCGAACACACAGGAGGGTTAGAGCCAGCTGTTCCTCAGAAGCGCTCCACCTGCTGGAACAAAGCAGCGAGAGCTCCCGTTTTCCGCTCTCTGTAAAGCCTGTTGTTCTCCCCACAGAAACATTCTGTTCCTCTGCCCCGACCCATGCACTCTCTCTCCGGTTTCCAAAAAGCAGAGGTAGTGGGAAGAAGGAGGGAGGATTGTACAAAACAAATAAATAATGTCATGTCTCCAAGCCGCAGGAATTCCATTCTGGCAGCGCCACTCTCGCTGTAATGGTGGGAGAAGAACACAGGCTCTATCTAACCCAGATGTCTTTTTTCTCTCACTGCTAACCACTGGAAAGTCCTCCTCCCATCAGGCAGTGGAGCGCGCTGCCTCTGCCGGCCACACCTGACAGGGTATTAGCTTGCACGTGGACCTCACATGCCCTCAGCTGTCATTAATCTGTTATGCAGGACAAACTCAAAAAGCCAGGTGATGCCTGCAGGAGGCTGTGAGTGATAAACACGGTGTACACAAATAAAAGAGAGGGCTGATTGTGAGTGCACGTATTCATAGGATAAGACTCACTATGCAGGAAGAAGCTGAAATGTGTAGCTTTGCTCAGATTTCTATGTAAAGTTGGAAAATCTCATGAAAAGAATTCCTTTGCAAACATGCAGCTTTGAGAGCCTGTGTATGTCTCTGTGTGTGTGTGTGTGTGTTTCAATGCTTTATTGTATTAGCAAATTAGCTACAGTGTAGATACGGAAATACAAATAAAATGTGTGTGTGTATGTGTGTGGAGGAAGGGAGGGGGGAGGTGGTGGTGAGTTCAGGGGTCGTGCTCCAGTCTGGGACACTTGCAGTATGGAATTTATGGGAGAGGACAAAGCAGATGGGGGCTCCACTGCTGTGGGAGAGCGGCAGCAGACTTACCCCCCTCTCTCATACACACCCCCCCCCCCCCCCTCTCTCTAAAGCATGGGGCCATCCTGCGTGACCAAAATGAAGCAGGCACAGACAGCCTCGTCTGAACCCAGCAGACAGATACTAAAAGTGTGTGTGAGCTTCCTGCAGGTTGTGAAACGCACAGGAAGTGGACGTTCAGTTAATCTAAAGCTGACAGCTGCAGAGGTGGCGTCTCTATACCAACTTGCATTGAATGAGAGACACATTTAATGCTGGACAAAGACATTGTTGAAGATTTTAAATGTTTCAGTTCAGTATACAGTCATGGCACACACAGAAAACACCATAATTGTTTTAATAGTATAATTGTTGTTACTTTACCGCTAACCTTAATGTATTTTAAGGTTAATAATTACATCATGTATACAGCCAAATATGTTCTTATTTTATTTCTTAATATTTGTTTTAGCAACATAATTTGTTTCAGTAACTTAGTTTCTATTTATTTAATTAAAGTACTGGAGAACCCCCCCCAGGTCCAGGTTACAGCACAGTATTGGCTGCAACACTATCACAAATTGCATTATCATAGATGTATCATCTGCAGGCACCACAAGGTTAGCAGTGAGGATGCTGGAGGTAATAAAGTCATTGAAATCCCTCAAAAATATTGTCTTAATACTCCAAGACAACATCACAAATCAGAGCTCAAATTGACAAATTACAATATCAAAGTGCAGCATTCAACATCACTGCACATTCCTGTGAAATGAATGGCACATAAAACGCACAGCATCAAGTGCTTTATCCCCTCTGTGTAAACAAAGGATCATTGAGCTGTGCAGCCTTATTCCAAAAAACATGATTTCCAAAAGAGGTCGCGCTAGAGACGCTTACATTCATTCAGTAGCTCCATTTCAAAATAACAGTGTCATTTCTGAATCATGCATTATATAGCAGCGTCTGGTGGGAATAATCACCTTGTAAATAAACAAGCAGCTTATCTGGAGATCAAATTAAGTGATGACTAAAAATATCCCATTATGCAGACAAACAATGAAGGAGCTCAACATGTCCACAACTGGCACATAAAATAAAATCACGTAAAATGATAAGAAATATCACCGATGTTGCAAGAGTAATGCATGTGCTCCCCCCTGTTGACCCGATCATTCCCCATGATTAATGCTAATTCTAATGACAGGAGCACTGTCAGCTGTGTGTGTGAGTGAGTGTGTGTGTGTTCAGATGTAGTGCCTTCAGGAGTCGCTCTAGTTACAAGAGGCGCACCAGCACTGCTGAGGTGAACAAGAACAACTCGGGCTGAATACACAAAGCCGACCTCACCAACAGTTCACACATACAATGAATCCACAGCAGAAAACACCGGGGTATCACACTCCTAACATGTGGAGTTTCTAAAAAAAATAACCCAAAATGTAGACAGTTTTATCAGCGATCGATTCGTAAATCAATACGCGGATTGTTGGAATTTCGCCTGAAATCGATACAATTATTTTATTCCATTGCAATCACATTATCACCTGTGTGTAAGCCACCCATTAGGCTAGTTAATACAACTCAGCCAACCATGTCAATAAAGCGTTAAGTTGTGTAGTCAACGGAAATCCAGCACATTTAAATGCCCCCAACACACAAACTCTTCCCTTTAAAAAACGCTGCTCAATGAGCCATTCTGTGTCCATGTACTCACCAATTCAAGTATCCGATCACCATTTAGGGAGCAAATCGCGTCGGTAAAGCAGCCGATGGGATAACCAGTGGAAGTGGAAGTAATCCAGAGAATGGCACGGGTAAAAAGAGCCTTCTATCCCCGCATACAGGCAGCTCTGCTCGGTGCTTTTGTCTGCGTCTCTCCCTGCCTCTGCACCCGAGCTCCGTCCAGCTGAAGCGCTTCCCTTGTCTGTGAGTCTGCCGAGAAGAGCTGCCTCTTTTCGTCAGTGGAAAACACCCTCCTGGCGTCTGGTTCTGACGCAGGCAGTGACACAGGGAGGCTGCTGCCCACGCTGCTTCCTGCCTGGCCTCCTGTGCCACTACACCCCTGATAAAACACACCGATTGTATTCATATAAATAATCATATGGAAATTAAAGAAAATTGTAGGAATTCACGAGGCTTTAAATAGCCCCTGGTGGCTGGATGATAGATAGATAGACAGATAGATAGATAGAGATATACCTACTTTATATTGCACACTTTTAAATGTGTTTTTTTATGATGTATATTTTTAAAGTATATATCTTTGATTTTTATAATAAAAGTCCCAATTGGGCATCAATACAGTATATCTTATCTCATATACTCTGTGACAAATTTGACTATACACTTTAAAATGTATATAGGTCACATATAGTGTTTTTGACTTGTTTTGTATACTTTGTGTTTGTTTGTATATTGTCGACTCAACTTACTGTTGGTTTAATTATATCTCAACTCCATGTCATTTGTGTAATTGTATATCTTTTTACTTTGTCATTCATTTGTGTTGATCTATAAAGCCCCCTGAGACAATGTGTGTTGTGATATAGTGCCTTATAAATACATGTTGATTTGATTTGACTAAAAGACAAATATATGCATTGATATGGCTACAATGCCGACATGGTATATTCTGCTCATAAGTTGAATTTGTGGTTTTTCCTAATTGTCTGGCTAAGTAAAACACATAGTAACCAAGATACTTGATATTGTTTTGTTGTGGCGTTATCCCATAACATCTTACATCATCACATGGAAACACACCTATAACAACTGGTCGAGGATCTGAGTCTCTATGAACTGTTGCGTAGTGGGAAGCCGTTTGGTGAGCAGACAGATATCATCATATCTGTTAGTGACGTGGGAGGAGCTGTAATTCTGTTTGGCTCACTTCCAGTTAAGGGAAAAAACTGACTAAGCTGGTATGAAGGACTGAATGAAATGACTCACTCTGTATTTCATGGAACACAGAAGTTAAAATGAAACGACTGCATCATATTTACAGCACATACGCAGACTCATGTTTATTAACAGAAAAAAGCTTTTTAATACTTCATTCTTTAAGAGACTGGGGTCGTGTCTCTTTTCTGGTCATTTGTATAAGTTACCTTGAGGAAGTTGAAGATACAGACACACAATGAGTCATTTTTAGACTGATTCTGTATTTTTAGATTAAAATGTGTCCTTTAGGGAAACAGTCGTCAGGTTTGACTAATCAACGTCAAGGAAATACTTGCCTGCTATAATGGTGTCTGTTCCACACAATGTAATTGGTTGATGCCCTTTTTGGTTTTGCCAAAGCTCAGAAAAATATACTTTTTTCAGTTAAAAAAACCCTCTTTTCCGCAGTGTTATATTCACACTATGTATGAAAATATTGCCTTAAAAAACTGCTCTAAAAATTCCAAATATACAAACAAAAGCAGACAAAAAACTGCCCATTTAAATAAAACTAGCAGAAAATGTATTTAAACAGATAACTCAATAAATTACATTTACAAAATAGGAAAATGTAGACACAATTCTGTAAAAAAAACTTCTATTATATCATTTATAGCATTAAAACAGTTCACAAGGTAGAAATAGCCAGACAAAAAACCTGCTCATTTAAATATAACTTGCTAAAAATGCTATTAGACAGCTAACTCAGTAACCCAAGCTCACCCCAGTTCTCAACATTCCTCACACTGAATATCCGGTTTCACATCAGCGCAGTAATTAAAAAACTGATTGAATATTATCAGGGATCATTTTCTCCAGAAGCAGCACACGCCCTGCTGAACTCCTCTCAGGTATTTAACGCTCTTACACTCTGCTTTCATTCTCAGCTGGACCTGAACACTGGGAGAAATTGTTCCGCCAATGTCAATACAGGTGCTTGACTTGATACTTGAGGGAGAGGTCTCCTAAAGCTGTGTACATAGAGCTAAGCTAATTGTCTCCTGCTAATAGAGGCTTCATTTCTCACTAGTTTGTTGAGACTAGGGGCCTCATTTAGGGCCTCAGAGGCAAAACAAGCTGAATGACAGTAGAAATAGTCCCATTAGGACTCCTATTGGGCCCACTAGGGTTTCTGTTTTTAAATTAAATTCTGTTCTGTTATACATTTTTAACAACATA